CCCCCCCCCCGACCCACCCCCTGCCGGCAGACGGACAGACTCTGCTTCCGTTTACTCACGGCTGCACGTCTTCTGCAAGGCACGGTCTTACCTGCTGTAGACTGCATCCAACTCCGAAAAACGAAGAGCCCTGTTTCGAGGTGCGCAAGCAAAGAAGCGCACCCAGACAACGTAATATAGAGCGGGAAAACACTACTTTTCCCCTGCGGTGCCACTAAAGGGAGGTACTCCTCTCGGGGCCTGGCGCTCAATAGCAAAGAAATATGGCGTACAGGAGTCAATGTCCACCTCATTCTCATTCTCTCCAATCCAACTGACCCCCGCGACAGCACGATGGCGAAAGGAATGGGAAACACCGCTCCCAAGAACCGGCGCAAAATTTTGTGCACCCCATCCTTGCGGGAAGGAAGGAACTCTCGGGTTAGGAAGGGGTGATGGCGTGATGGCAGCGGCAACGGCAGCGACAGCAACAGCTGTATGGCTGATGTGCCATCACCAGCATTTGGGGGGGGGGCTGATGCTTTATCAACGGCAGTTTCTCCCCCCCCAACCCGAAGATCCCGTCCGCATACGTATGTATCGCCAACGGTACGGCCACACAGAGTACGCCGACGGGCTGGCCACTTCTTTCTGCTCCCCAGTTAGGGAGCGGCAGCTCTCAGTGATACCGCGAAATGCGCAAGCGAGAAAATCGATCAACTCTTCTAAAATCCACATCGTTGTGAACAAGGAATACCCTCCGGATGATTCCCCGACACGCGCACAAAAAGAGTTGCTATTGCCCGCAAGCAACGGACACACGGTGGCGTCTTTTGTCTTGATTCAGAAAAGTTAAGGATGGGGTCTCGAGCTTTCATCTCCTCTTGGTCCGGCCGCGAGGCGCCCGTGCCCTAGCGGCGCCGCGCGCGTTGTCATTCTGCGTGAACAATCGGTCAGCGTCCGCCTTACATTATCCATGCGCGGCGCAGCACCAGACGACAACAACGAGAAAGCCAGCCAGCCAGGTCGAGACGACAAGTCAGCCAGGTTGGCACAACGACGGGAGGGGTGGGTGGGAGGGAGGGAGGGAGGGAGGTTCAGGCGTGATTGTCAGATTTTCAGCAAACGCGCGAGATTGATACAAGCCGTGGTTGCGGCGTCGTGTATCACGGTTCGTGGGTGTGGCGGATATTCGTTGTCATTTGGTTCTTTGCGGTGACTCCCTCGCTCCCTCGCTCGTGTACGGTTCTTGCAGCACCCAATAACAAAACTACATCCGAGACAAGCAAAAGAGGTGTTCGCTTTGAATGAAGCAAAAAAATGTCGGGTCCACAAGGCCATGGTTGTCAAAAACGTGTTGGTTTCGAAAGGGCATGCTTGTCTTTTTGGTTCTCTTGCCTCTTCCGCCTCCAGCTGCTGCTGCTCCTCGGCCAGCGCCAGCTCACGCTCGGATTCCTTGGGCAGGGTAGACCTCAACGCAGCCAGCGGGACGTAAGCGGCCACCTGCTCCCCGCCGAACATGATAGTGTTCTGATTCCCTCGCACCCGACGAAAAAGACGCAGAGAACGCAACAAAAAAAAAAAAAGCAAGAAAGACGGAACGAAGAAAGTCCGGTAAGCGAGAGCGGGTTTCAAAGTCCTGGTGCCACAGGGGATAATTTTGTTTGACCCTGAGAAGGGGCTCTCGAGTAAACAGAGGCAAAACCGTCCGTACAAGGTACCAGGTTAAAAAAGAGCGAGCACCGGAGATGACCAAGACAACAGGTCGGCGGGACTGCTTCACGAACGGAAAGGGGGGCGATCAGTGTGGTTGATTTCACTCGGCGAGGGAGATGACGATGATGTTGGGGCCGGGCGGGGGGCGAGTCGGGGCGGTGTAACAGAAGAGCGTCTGCGGGTGCAGGCGAACCAAGGGGTGAGCAAGGTGGTGGGTGTTCCGTGTGTTGTTTCGCTACTGCAGCGGCGGGACAGAAACAGCCACGACGCAGTGGAAACAAAGGCAGACGGCGATCGATGCCAACGATTGCCCAGAGAAACCCCGCGTCCCGCACTCGGGATACATAAGTTGTTAACCTTACAAGTACGCTTGCCGTATCATGTACTATCACTACGAGCGGAAGCGTGCACAACAAAGCGTCACACGCTTGTCCGAACCGCGGTGTGTCCACACAAACAACAGCGTAGTGGCTGTTCTAAGTCAGGTGGTGATGAATAATCGAGGGATAGCAGGAGGTGCACAAACAAACCACCTCCACCAAAACAATACGCACTGGTGTGCATAATCAAAGAACAAACAAATACCTTCTTGAAACGCTTGAAGTTCGGCACCGCCGGTCCCCTCCTGCCGCCAACGGGACGCGCCGATGATGACCGTGAGTAGCCCATCGGCGCCGAACGCGAAACCGCTTTGGCCACGAGCCTACCAGACGTGCCACGAAGCACGAGAGAACCGACCATCCGAAACAAAGGGGAAGAGCAAAGGCGGGAAATTATCATGGGTGAGGATGGGACGCGCGTGCGTGTGTGAATTTGGGGGGGGGGGGGGGGGGG